CTCTCCAATCTCAAGCTTTTGTGTTCGTTTGAAGATCTTTTTATTTCTAATTTTGAAATTATATATCAGAGTCCTCAGAAAAAGAAAAAGCATAAAAGAGAAGAAAAAAGAAGAGTATATCACGAGTTTTGAAAATGAGATCTTTTTTTTTTTTTTTTGGAAATTGAAAAGATAAACGACAAATCTCACAACAACTTTTTAATTTTTTAAAAATAAAAATATTAATTATCTTTAACATGATTACAAAAAAAAAATGAATATTTAGTTTAAACTATAATTATTTTCTAAAAATAGCTAACAAAGTTTTGAGAACTCTTTGCACTTGCCTCATTTATGTTTTTTTAAAAAATTAATGTTATTTCTTTGTGGTAATTAAATAATTATTTGTGATAAAAAATATTTTATCCATCTATTTGGAGTATCTTCTATTATTTTTATAATTTAAAAGTTTTTTGCAACGATTTTAAAAATTTAAAAAGGAAATGTATATAAAAAATATAAATGCGGAAACGAAATAAAAGATTCTGGTTAATATCCCTTACACAATAACTTAAACGTACTAATAATACCGAAAATAAGTTCTTTAAAGGAAAATACAAGAAATGAAAGACTATAAAAGAAACTAATAAACATTTAGGTATCTATTCACCGTCTTCTTGTAGATCGGGATCGGGAACCAAGTCATCCTGATCTAAAATGGTTAAGTAAGGAATGAGGTACACTAACCCAATAAAGACATCACACTATATCACTGTCACAGAAGTAAAGGTTGGTAGAAAACTAAAGACAACCAATGGAGCGCAAGTTTCAAATAAATTTATTTATCAATAATCAAACCATTTACCGTTCACTTACCTCAGTGGGATTTATAAAAACGATCCATGGAAACAATAACATCATAAATATAATGAATTCATACATAATCTGTATCATAGTACATGTCATACTTTTATATTTCAATCATCAAACGACAGTTACCCCCTTTTTATCAGTATATCAGTTTCCGTAGGGATCCATATAGGTCATCGCTACACGTGAACTATTCTTTTAACAAACTTAATTCACAGGGCCGTCCTCATACCCCGTCTGGTATGGGCGCCAAATAATAAAACCTCAATACCCCGTTCGGTATGAGGGTGAAGTGGGTCGTCCCCATACCCAATCCGGTATGAGCGCCAAAATATTGAAAGTCTTCATACCCCGTCCGGTATGAGACAACGTTCCTGGTAGGGTTCCCTATGGATCTGGTCCGTCCACCATCTCCCAGATATCTAGTGAGGCTATCAACTTATCCATTTATCAATTTACATACATTTTCTATTTTTTTCTTAGTTTTCCGTTTCCCACATAAACATGAATACTTAAACAAGTAACGAGCATCCAACAAGGCAAGCATATAATCGAATTCACAAAATCAAGCCATAATGAAGTAAACAGTGATTCATGCATTCAAAACCATAGAATAAATAAATCAGATACCATACTGCATTTAGACTGTAAAATCAAACAGGAACTGACAGAGAAATATGTACGGTTCGGGCTCCATTAGCAACTGTAATAATTATGTATATCTATTTAATTTATACAAATACAGTTTTATCATTTATTAGACTTTAACCCTGTGATAG